CCTCCTCCTCCTTATTATTACAAATCCCCACCACCACCTTCCCCATCACCTCCTCCCCCTTACTATTATAAGTCACCACCTCCTCCATCCCCATCTCCTCCACCTCCTTATTATTACAAATCACCACCTCCTCCCTCTCCATCACCTCCACCTCCATACTATTACTAGTCTCCCCCTCCACCATCACCATCACCACCTCCTCCTCATGTGTACTATTATGCTTCCCCTCCACCTCCTAAAGTCTACTAGGCATGATATGCCTCTCTTTGATTCATGTTAGGTTACCTTTTATACTTAAGCATTTGCTATCCCACATGTTCCATATATATTTCGTGCAGCTTATGGAAGACTAGTGAGAATAATAATGGATATTTCAAGCAGTTATCCATTTTGTTATGAATAAAAGCTAGGTCTGGGAATAAAAGCAGTAACACTGCTAGCTGTGATGGTTAGCATTTCTATTTATGTAACACACATTCTGTAATCTTTCCCAATGAATAATTAAGTATAGCAGAAAACTATGCGCACTTTCCTATCGTGGCTATGGTAGCTTACATAGAACATTCATTATGTTTTTTTTTTTTTTTTGCCCTCATCATATAAATTGAACTAAATTCTAAATTAACTATGGAAAAGTTTGAATTGCCTGCCAATCAATTATGTGCAAATCAGCTTTCTTCAAAATAGAGATGCCAAATGTAATTCTACCGAGGCAAACAATGTCGTCATAAACAAGTAATTTGTTACTACAATTGGTTGAGAGTATTTTAACTTTTTGACTAAACCTTTCGTTGATTCAAGTCTCACGAATAATTGCCATGCATGGTTGGTATAACAAGTAGAGTTCAAATTATTATTTAGGCACTAATAATTGCCATGGTTGAAATCATATATAAACAGAGAGATTGGGTTATCAGTCCAAAGCATTCCATTCAATAAATTAAGAACTTAATACCCAAAAAAAATTAAGAACGTGATTAGTGATGCTATTGGTAAGATCAAATCCAGAATGTAGGGCACATGCAATTTACACTGGCATCAATAGATGGGGGTGCAAATGGACTAACTTTGTTTAGTTTGTTTGTGAGTGTAAATCCTGGCTTTGTTTAGTTTCTTTTGCATTGGCATAAATGTATAAAAGTGCAAATGGACTTTTGCTTTGGACTTAACCTTGTTCTATTTGTTTGTAAGAAGTAAAATAGAGAATAAAATGACGTGGCCTCCAATTTATATGAAAGAGAAATGAGACACCAACTGAAGGGGGATAAACTTTGGCTGTTGGAGCCCAACAGCATAGGCTGTTGAGGCAGTTTCTGGGCTGGGCACTTATTCACACCTATGCTTTGGTTTTTAGTTAAAATAAATTAAGATGTAATTACTAATTTATCCATTCTCATGGTAGCAAACATTCCCAGAAATTCTCTCAACAGCATAGGCTGTTGGCCCCCAACAGTTAAAGTTTTTCCACTGAAGGGTGGCTCGACTGGCATGCTAGCTGGTTTGTTCCAGCATAGACGCAGATTCAATTCCTGCAAACCACTGATTTTGAGGAGGTTATTTGTGTTAAGTATCACCAAATACCAAAAAAAAGAAAGAAAGAAATTAGGCCGCAGAAATGGAGAAAGGTTATTTAGTTGTGAAAAGTAAGATAGGAAGCAAATTGTCCCGCTTTATCTGAAAGAGAAATTGAAGTAGGACGAAGTGGTGTAATTGCATCATTTAATGGATGCAAATTAAATGAGACAAAAAATGCACATTTTTCACCAGATAGAAATGCAAATTATAGTCACAAACAAACAGATGCAAAACTGAACTGGGTGCATTTATATGCAGTTCAGATTTGCAATGCAAACAAATGCAGCATGTGAAGTAAAATGACGTAGTCCCCACTTTATACGAAGGAGACTGAAAATGGGAAATCACGGACTAGGATGAATGTGATGCAAATTTAACATCAGTATTTGGGATACAAAATTTACACTTATTACAATATTACGCATAAGTATAAAATTTACATCCGGTTGAAATTTGCACCGCAAGTAATCTGAGCCTTAGTTTGCTAAGCCTAGATTAATCCCTGTTGGGCTCAATGGGCTGGATGGCCCATGATTATTATCTATCTCCACCTCTAGATGTCTAGATGAGGCCCAATCACCCAATTGATTGTGGGTCTAGATCATTCATACATGAATGAAATACAATGGTAATAGAAGAGGAAGACCTCATACCTCATCCCAGTTAGAGTAAGGAAGTATTCATTGAAGCATGGTCTTAATTTTCAATGCCAAACTTTATTATGGTCATCATCATCGTCATCATGATTATTGCTCCAATTTGATGGAAGAAATCAACACGATGATTGCTCCAATTTGATGACATCAAATCTGATTATTGCTTGTAACACAAAAGAAGATGAGACAAATCTCTAATTCATTCATACCTCCTGACTTTAATTGTAATTTCAACACATCTTCTTGACTTTGTTCTTGGCATAAGAGTCATATGATAACGATACATGTAATAAGGGTATGGACCGATTTTGGATTGGACCCTTTTAGTTCAAAATCAATTTAGACAGATTGGACGGGTCAACAAGACATATTAGATTGGATCAATCCAGTTCAAAATATTTATTAGATTGGATTAGACCTAATCCGTCCGTAATAATTTATATTGGATTGGATTGGATTAAGCCAATATCTGATCTATTGATATAAGATAAAAATACAAGTATTAATGGACCAGGTTTGAGTTGAAATCAATCTAAATCAAAACAAATTTAAACAAATTGGATGGTCCAGACATTGAATTGGACTGACCCGTTTATAATAGACTCACATTGGACTGGATCAGATTGGATCAAATCCAGTCCAATTAACACCCCTAATAATCATGAATTTGAGGATTAATTGTAGTATCTCAATATCAACCACCGAATAATGTAATGTAGGCTTTAGATTATAATATTAAAAGACAGGTTCAGACTTCATATTTCTTATTTTCATCAAGGGCTGTTCGATAACATCTGAAAATGCTGAACTGAAAAGCTTATTGTTTTGTCTATTACTAGTGAATAAGTTTTTAAGAAGGCTGTTGGCTCTTTAAACTGAAATTGTGCAGATCACTACGCCCTTACAAATTTTATTATTTAGTTATTGTAACAATTAAATGTCAAAGCAATAAGTCTTTCAATTCAGCAACTTCAGCTGTTATCAAAAAGTTCACTGCCACCCCGTCTCCACCACCATACTATTATAAATTCCTACCTCCACTCTACTATTATAAGCATGGTTTTCAAAACTGACCCGGTGACTGAACCGATCAGGGGTTTAGTTACCGGGTTGAACAGTCTGATCGTTCGAATTGAACGTTCAGCCCATTCTAACAAAAAATGTAAAAAAATAAAAAATGGTCAAAACTGTTCGAACAGTTAACTGCCCAATCCAGCAGTTCGCTGACCAAAATCAACAGTTTTAAAAAAAAATCCAGTTTTTGGGGAAAATGGAACCAATCACCTGACTGATTCCCGGTTTTCCGGTTCGATCTAATTTTGAAAACCATTATTATAAGTCTCCACCTCCTCCATCACCATTGCCCCTTCACCATACCACTAAAACTCCACCACCATCTCCATTACCTCTACCACCAATATTCTATGTTTCTGCTATCAGTTTGCTGCATGTTTTACACTTGTTTACATTGAACAAACCATTGCCATGTCAGCATAACACATGCTTGGTGTGGCTAATAGTTTGGCTAGTTAGTTGAGAAATCTATGACATATAATCCTAGCTAATGGGACACTTGTCCCTGACCTAACGAGCTGAATTGGTCCATGTGAGACTAAATCCAAATTTTTCTTGTTACCGTTGGGGTTGCTCTAACAGTAATATATTTTAACGTTGGATGGAGTCCACATTTATAAATAAGCGGTCCTACTCGATCTAGAGCGAAATACACCAACTCTACAATCAAACTTGGAAGAAAATAAGCTAGAGATCACATCGAACCTCTGCCAAGCTGGGTCATTCTGAGTTCTTTAATCTTATGATAAAAGTGCCAATCAAGTGTCTTGCCCTTTTTTTTCTGCTTCTGTAGTGTACAGGAGGTTTCAGGTATGGGATTAACAAAAACTGGTCGGGTTTGAACAATTCAACTGGTTTTCTATAACTCGCATGGTTATGGCTATCTAGAAACTTAAAATGAGAATAAAAGGCTTTAAACTCGTAACCTCTTATCTACATTTATTAGCTTATAATCATTAGCCCAATGCATCTTTTATAACCATTTGTCTCTTTTGATATAAATCAATGTTTTTGAACTATCGTTAATAACGGCCAGACCATTCAGCCTTGAAACTGTTCAGGCAATCGATTCTATTTCACCTTTAACTTGTTTCTGGGTCAAAAACTGTTGATTTGGTCAGAAAACCATTGACCCGGGTGGTTGAACCGTGAATTCGTTCAACCCAAACAGCAGTTCGTGGTTTAAGAAAGTTGTAGAGGATAAAGAAGGAAAAACTGAGACACGAACTCAGATTTGAGATCCAGCAGAGAGAGGGAGAGAAAGAAGAAGAAGAAGGAGAAGATTGCAGAGGTTGGAGAGAAATCAACCTCAGTTATCAGATCTTAGATTTAAGATCTGATCTGTTGCTGCTGCCTTGCCGTCGCCAGTGAGCGTTAAATCCTCCTCTTCCTTCTTCCCTCCTTCCCTCCTTCCTTCCTTCCTTTCATTTCTCTCCTTTTCTTTTTTTCCTCTCTCATTTCTCTCCTTCCTTTCTTTTCTTCTTCTTTCGTTTTTTCTTTCTCAGCCCACAACCACAGTCTCTTCTCCTTTCTCATATAAAACTTTTAGTGCCCATGGAGATGTGATTAATAAAATACAATGTTTTCGAATCACCATTGACCTAGACGGTCAAACCGGGAACCATCCATGCAATTGGTTCAGTTTTATCCCAAACCCAATCTTTGACAAAAAAAACTGTTGAATTGGTCAATGACCCGTTGACCTGGGCAATCAAACCATTGACCCATTCGACCTGCGCAACAGTTTTTGGCTGTTTTTTATTTTAATTATTTTTTTTTTATTTTTTGTCAGAACGGCCCATCCATTCAAACTAGATGATCAAACTACTAACCCAGAAACCAGTGGCCAAAACTGTTCCGGTTCTGGATCATTTTTAAAACATTGATAAAATAAACAAAAAATAAAAAGAAATAAAATATTTGTCATATTAAAATAATTTTTTTGAAGCCTGCCATATTAAAATAATTGAACTTCATTGGAGAGCTCCCGTATTTTGACCCGACTAGAAACCCTTTTTTCTAGTTGAACCTTTTTGACTTGGGATCAAGGAATTGCCAAAGCCCCACACTAGCTTATTTTCTGTTGAAAAAAGGCCATTACTCAATATTGATCCCAAATACATGGAGTCTTTAGAGGGGTAGGTTGGAGATGGTCCTAACCTTTGACAATTGGGGTTTTCATAGTTCAGTCCACCCTTAGGGTGGAGCTAAAATTTTTAGGGCGGATTAAATCCTGCCTATGGATTGATGTCAAATTTACAAACAGGATGCAATTTATAGGAGGGCTACTAGCAGACAAGGAGGGAGCTGCAATTCAGATTTCTGAGGTGAATTGCAATCCACTTAGTTTTCAGACTTGACATACTTGTCAATTTGAAAATTTACTATTAAAATAAGTAAATGACTGCTTCAAAATACATTGAAAAAAAAATCAGATATGTGAAACGTTCCTATATGCATCAGGACTCAAAATGTGGCAAGGCAAAGGGTAGGCTCTGTTTCTTATTACTTTTCTTAAATTTGATTTTCATTAGATTTTAGTTTTTTTTTTTTTTCAAAATTTACTCCAGGTGGACCATCTTAGTATTTTATTATAACCCGCATCAATAAAAAAAAAAAAAGAAAAAAAGAAAAAAAAAAGTATATAGGAAGGATATATCCCACCTTGCCCCAGACCCTCACTAACTCTACCCCTCCCAGAATATAAAACAAAAAGAGGATCAAATTCAAAACCTGATTCTAAGAATCCTTTTGACGTGTTGCCTTAAGTCCAATCTGCTGTTATATATAGAATCTCAAATGACCGTCTTCTATGCCATGTTAGCTAAAGCATCCCCAGCCTTGTTAATTCATTTCCCTGTAAGCATGAGACAATTAAAAAATGATATTTTTATTGTAGACCAGACCCATAATGCTTTGAAAGCAAATAGTGAATTTCCCAGGCCTACACATCATGGGTTGTTTGTTTGGGCTTAAATGCCTCCTAAACATCAAAACATAGAGCAAATTAAGCCAAGTCAAGAGCCAATTTATCGAGGAATAACTAACCGAATTCGAATGGGATAAGGTAATATTCAAATTCAAATCCGATTAAAAAAAATTGATATCCGATTTTGATTTGAAATTCGACGGATATCAAAAATTAATATTTTAATTTGAATGTGATTAAATATTCGAATATTCGATTCAATTCGAATTCAACTAATTAATTATTTTAGGTAATTAATAAATATTTTATTTATATAATTTAATTAATATATGTATACATTATATAAAACATTTAAAAATTTTATATATTATATATAAGAATTAAATAATCAGTTGAATTCAGATATTTATCGAATCGAATCAGATTATATCCAAATTCGATTCGATTATGTTGAATCTCAAATTCGAAATCGGATTTTCAAATACCATTGACACCTCTAAGAATAACGAATGCCATCGACACTTGAACCCAGCCCTATCTTGGTAGGTTCATCAACGTTGGAATCGGAATCGCTTTGGTTTAATGGTTTGACCATCCTGTTTGAATGAATGATCAGCTACAATAAAAAAATAAAAATTGGCTAAAAGACATTATTCGAATCGGGTTGATGATTCAAGACTTCAAGTGGTCGAATTAATGAATTATTGACAAAATCAACGGTTTTCGGCAAAGTAACGATTCATGGATGAAACGAAACCGATTGCTTAAGTTAATTGATTTGCAGGCCGAACAAGGGTGGCCTTTGCCAATTGCCATATAGATGTGCAGAAACTTCTGACTGTTGCCCGAATTGACCAAATGCTGGGCGATTGGACGCGGTGAGAGACTGGGAAAAGAGAGATAATCAGATATACCAAATTCATACATCAACCAAAACCAGTTCTTCTCGGGCACCATTTTTCTTTCTCTGACTCCATTTTTCTTGAAGCTTGACTTGTTCGTTCATGGACCGACCGACGTGAATAAAATGCATGTAACTACAGAAAGGTGGGTGTCCCATTTTCAAGCTGTTGAAAGAAATGAGATTCTAGATTATAACAATACATAGATTAGGTAAGTTTGGAAAGGTCAAATATTAATTAAAAATTGTGTTCTTTTCTATAATGACTGACTGAAGAGATCACTATATAAAGGGCTAGCACATATCCCTCATTTCAAGTCATCATTAAGCAGTTTTCTGATCTTCTCTACTAAAGGAGTTCGGTTCAGCTCTTGTTTTCCCTGAACAGGGGACTTGTGGTTCTTGGCCTGGTGGCCATTTTGGCATTTTCAGTTGCCAGCCATGGCCCAGCTTTGGCCTAGTTTATTGTATTCCTTGGTGTTTGGCTTGGTAGTCACTAGCGTCGCTGCAGACGATGAGCCTTATGAGTACAAGTCCCCACCACCACCATCTCCATCTCCACCTCCTCCCTACTACTACAAGTCTCCACCACCTCCTCACTACCATTACAAGTCACCCCCTCCGCCATCTCCGTCGCCTCCTCCTCCCTACTATTATAAGTCTCCACCTCCTCCATTCCCATCACCTCCCCCTCCATACCATTATAAGTCACCCCCACCACCTTCACCCTCACCACCTCCCCCATATCACTACAAGTCACCACCTCCACCTTCACCATCTCCACCGCCTCCATACTACTACAAGTCGCCTCCTCCGCCATCGCCATCTCCTCCTCCACCGTATTACTACAAATCTCCACCTCCACCTTCACCATCCCCTCCCCCTCCATACTACTACAAGTCCCCACCTCCTCCATCCCCATCACCTCCCCCTCCATACTACTACAAGTCCCCACCTCCTCCATCCCCATCACCTCCCCCACCTTATTACTACAAATCACCACCACCTCCTTCACCTTCACCACCTCCTCCTTACTATTACAAATCTCCACCTCCTCCATCAAAATCACCACCTCCACCAACCTACTACTACAAATCTCCTCCACCTCCCGAAGATGACTAAGACATATAGTTAACTCTATGTCTAGTGTTTAATTCTTCATTTATAATATTTTCTATGTTGCAGAGAGATCGATGATTGTCGGAGCTAATAAGGATAAGGACATTTGACCCCTGTCCTTCTGATCTCTGATACAGGAATAAAGGATCTCTAAGCATATTACTGTCTTGCAGTTCTTTTACATACACAGTACTATAAATAAGTTAGAATTATTTATATATAGACAATAAAGCATAATGTAATTAACTTTGGTTTTGAGTGAATTGAAATAATATTGGAGCTCAGACTCCTTCAGTCATTTTGGTATGTTTTCATTTTCCATGATTCTAGAATTATACGTCACACTTGTTTTAGTGCTGGAGTTGTTGATTTTTCTTTATATAATTAATAATTTGCTTTGCTTTTATTTCTTCCTTATAATTGTCAAGGTTTGAAAAGGGGATAGATTGACCAATTAGCACTTTTTTTTCTTAGGATTGAGTCCAATTTGTGCCATGACCGTTGACCATGTAGAAGCCTGTGTATGGCTACTACGATTACCTACTTAATTTAATATATAATACACCCGAATAAATTAATAATAAACTAAATTGTTAAATGATAATTAGCATACGAAGCAGAGATATATAGAAGCTAGCACACTCAGAACCACGGACGGCTGTTGATGAGAACGTTTACAAGGGAACTCTTTTCTCTTGATCATTCTTTTGACCCAATTCGATCTAATATCGGAACCAGTCGGTATAATAATCCTGGCAAAGGTATAATAATTTCACAAGGGTGCATGTTTGAGAATAAAAATCTATTCACTAACAACCTTACCTAAGTCCTCGAAAGAACATCGGGCGATGAACATCCATACCTCATGCTCAAGTTTAATTAATTAGTCAATTATAATAGGGCGATGAACATCAAACACTATATCACTTGGTTTTGGGGGGCTTTGCAGTTGTTCTAACCTAAAAAGTTCCTAGTTATTAGATGAAATCGTTGAATAATGGTTTCTTGATATTATCTAAAAATTCTTGCGACTCCAAAAGGGGGAATGTTCTGTGGGTAGCCCAACCGAATTTCTGTCTGAACCCTTGGGGAAAGCTTGATAGAACTGAAAGGCGGATGACAGTATATTGGATTGGACCCCATCCAGTCCAAAATCAATTTGAACGGACCAACAAGATATATTGGATTGGACCTGGTCTGTCCGTAACAAATTTATATTAGATTGGGTTGGATTAAGCTGATATCAGATCCATTGATATAAGATAAGAATATATTTGTCAATGAATCGGTTTTGGGTTGAAAACAATCTAAATCAAAATGAATCTGAACAGATTGAACAGTCCAGACATTGAATTGAACATTCATTAGATTGGATTGCACCCGGTCCATTTATAATGGACTCACATTGGACTGGATCGGATTGGACCAAATCCAGTTCAATATTTGATATATAAATGTATATATATATATGTATATACACCAAAATAAGCATGTTGGGTGCTGAGAATATGAATAACGAAGGAGAATGGAGATGGAATGACAACTTTTTGTTCTTTCAATTATGATGCCATCTCCATGACAGCACACGACATGGCACATTCAAACTAGACAAGAATTGAAATCCCGTGAGCCATAGCAATTATTAATGGGAGGTCCCATTTGGCTTCAAAAATTCTTTCATTTTTTTTTCCAAAATAAAAAATGGTATCTACAACTAATGGCTATCTGGACATGCAAGAAAAGAAGTAAAGACAAAAACCATTTTCACAATAATCACAAGTTACACGTACTAAGCTGGCAATCCAATTGTTTTCTCGTTTCTGATCAACTTCAGAGTATATTTCACGCAGTCGGATGTTGTGCAGTAAGAGAAATTATATTAAAGGCAGTCCACAGGAGAGAGAGGTTGCAAATGGAGAATTTATTTCCAATTAATTAGTTCCAACATCTTCAAAAGATGTAGAATGCACATTCAAACAAAAGCGAGACGTACAATAACTATTTTCTAAACCACTGATACCAAAACAAAATAACAAACCAAATGATGATTTCCAGGCTGAATCTGGATAGCTCCTTTTAATTTCACCTGATCAGTTCTCTTGCCCAGTACATCATCATCTATGCTTAAAAGCCGTTTACAACTTCTTTATTCTCAAATAGGCTCTTCTCCAAATGGAACTGATGTAATCCTGCATTATGCATCATCTCTTTGGATATAAATTCATGTTATTAGATATACATATATAGACCAGTTGAAGGTAGAGTAGGAATTTGCAGTAAAATATATATGGAGGAGGAGGAGATGGTGTGTAGTAGCATGGAGGATGCGGAAATGGTGATGACTGAAATCAGACTTTAGTAATATAAAGGCAGCAACCAATTAGGTTGATTCTTTAGTAGTAGGGTGGTGGAGGTGGAAGTGGTGATTTATAGTATGGAGGAGGGGAAGCTGAAGGTGGTGGTGGTGACTTGTAATAGTATGGAGGGGGAGGTGAGGGTGATGGTGGAGGTGGTGATGGAGGTGGCGGTGAGGGAGGTGGAGGGGATGGAGATGGTGGTGGTGGGGATTTGTAATAATATGGAGGAGGAGGTGATGGAGATGGTGGTGGAGGAGATTTATAATAGTAGGGAGGAGGAGGTGATGGAGATGGTGGAGGTGGTGAGGGAGGGGGAGGTGAAGGAGGTGGTGGGGATGGAGATGGTGGTGGAGGAGATTTATAGTAATAGGGAGGAGGAGGTGAGGGAGATGGTGGAGGTGGTGATGGAGGGGGAGGTGAAGGAGGTGGTGGTGGAGNGGAGGAGGTGAGGGAGATGGTGGAGGTGGTGATGGAGGGGGAGGTGAAGGAGGTGGTGGTGGAGGAGATTTATAGTAATAGGGAGGAGGAGGTGATGGAGGGGGAGGTGAAGGGGGTGGTGGGGATGGAGATGGTGGTGGAGGAGATTTATAGTAATAGGGAGGAGGTGATGGAGGGGGAGGTGAAGGTGGTGGTGGGGATGGAGATGGTGGTGGAGGAGATTTATAGTAGTAGGGTGGAAGCGATGGAGACGGAGGTGGCGGAGAAGGGGATGGTGGAGGTGGGGATTTGTAGTAGTATGAAGGGGGAGGTGATGGCGGAGGTGGAGAATGGAAATAGAATGGTGGAGGTGGGGATGAAGGTGGAGGTGGTTTGTGAAATAAGGGAGGTAGCACAATCTCCAAAGCCACAACCCTGCTGGCTATCAAGCAAAATGCCATGGCATAAAATAGGATAGGCCAAAGGGGAGCCATGTCCGGCCACTTCAAATGGATAACGACCAGTCCCTTGTTCAGAAGCAGACCTGAACTTCTAAGTAGAAAAAGAAAAGGAGATAGAAAGACTACTAGTTAATGATGAATTTGCAATGGGAGGCTAACCTTTTATATATAGTGATAAATCAATGAAGACAAGAACAGTGGATTAACATTAGATATCTTCAAAGGAATAGAATCTTCCTATAGTTCCACAAATTTACTATATATGTACATTCTCAAAATTACATGCTTTATCTAGCCTAAATGGATACAAAATAAATGCATAGTAGTCGTTAGTTTTATGTTGTGATAAGCAAAGCATTCTTGCACTATCAGATTGTGTGTATTGATGTGGTGAACTGGGTGATTCTAAAGAGGTCAATTGAATGTGGGAGACATAATTTGAGCTTGAAGTGTAAGTTAAAAGAGTTGGGTGTTCTTCTAGTTAAATTGTTTGAGGAATCTCCATAAATAATGCTGGAAAATTCCATGTGTAAAATGGGTTTGAAGTCCAAAAAAAGACCTTATATTAGAAAATAAAAAGTCATGAACAATTAATTAATTATGGATTTTTTGAAAACTTGGATAATTCAAATACTATATGTTAATTTCTTTTTACCAAAAAAAAAATACTATGACTGTGTTTGGAAATGATGCAAATGGAGTGTAAACCTCGATTCAAGATAAATTTGCACTCTGGTTCACTTTTGTATGTATTTGGCAACATTACATTTATGCATTGCCAAATGATAGACCAATACATATTTACATTGATAAAAAAGAACTAAATTTGCATTCAAGTGGGCTTTTGATAATATATATATATATATATATATATATATATGCTTTATTGAAATTCATATTTGCATCCATTACAGCTAAAAGTATGTTTGGTAAGAAGGTAAATTTGTCAGTGCAAAACTAACCCAACTTTACAATTTATATGAATCGTTTTACACTCTACATATTTGCATTCACACTTACTTGCATCATTTCCAAACACAGCCTATATGTTTATTATGAAAAATCTACTTTTAATTTTTCATATTTTTAAAAGGTATGCATTTTCTTCAGAAATGCATATTCTACTTTCAGCATCTATGATGCATACATACAGAAAAGGAGTTTGCCAGATTCTTATCCCTGCCTAATAACTAAAAGCTATTCAAGTAGTGATTCCTAATTTACTAAGAACAACTGGCAAATTTGGAGAAATCATGCAAATTTCTCCTTCCTCCAATATTAATAAAGAACACAATCTTTATCATATGAATACTGGGCATATATTAACCAAATTGAAATGTCTCTGATCAACATATTATTATAAATAGCAAGTAGTCATCTTGTACCGAGAAAACAAACAATGTTACAGTTTGAATGAATCAAGAACCGAACTACAAAGCTGGCAACTATGTTCCAAATTTGAAGTTTGAAACTGAACTACCAAGCGAACCCCACCTTTTGTTTTAATGAGCCCACTTGCTGCACTCATCACCCCTAATAAGTCAAGCGTCAAGCAACTGAACACTACTATATTGCCTGTATCATCAGCTAGTCGTATAGGTTCTCATTTCACTGTGCCTGGGCGAGATAAAACTACAAAGGCATGATATCATTTAATTTGTTTCCAGGAATGCAGACTAAACGACATCCAAGCTTTGTCTTGCATGTATTTAGTTGGTGAAGCCATCCCCAACCCACCAACCTCTACCAATGGTTGGTGAACGATCTGGGGTCTATGGATTCAGTGCATCCCGTGACACATGGCCCAACAAAAGCCATTTCATCTCGGTGCCACAGATTTGATACGTCATGTATCCCCCATTGTTTTAGCTGCAGGTCAATAAAATTTTGATTGACATCCTTCAGCCACGTCAAGGATCTCACCTAATAATTTAAGTTTTTAGGTTGAATAATTCTTTGAGATGGTATCAGAGTTATTTTGATCAAATGGTCTAGTGTTTGATCTCCATCTTCCTATTATAATTAATTAAGTTTTAGTACAAACTATGAATGGCCATGTGCTTGTTCACACTTTAAGCCCGATGGCCTTTCGTGTAAGGAAGCATATTAGAGAATAACAATTTATTCAAGGGCCAAGCTTTTAGGTTGAATGGTTCTATGAGACTGATCACCCTAGAGAGGCCATTACCCAATGTTGATTCTATCTATGATCTATCTATCTTGTGTCTTGGAAGCGTAGATTGGATATATATAGTTCTAATTTTTGTTTTTTTTTTCTTCTTTATTTTCCTTTTTTCCGCATAAAATGGCTGTCCTCAGACTTGAACTCACATTCTCACGCTTGCCAGTTTAACAATTCTAGGGTTTGTGATAAGAGATCCAGAACCAGCCCAATTGTTAATCGGGACTATTAAGTTAATCAACAGCTTAGTCAGTTATTTTGACATGCAATTTGATAATAAACTTACTCATTTAATAAATTGGCACATTTAAACAATATAATGCATATGATATTATTAGTACACCTTGAAAAAATTGGGACTACTTCCATAACATAACATGCATGGTTGGTTCAGGTCTTGTTTGGTTCGGGATAATAACCAAATTCAATCCAGACCCAGTTATAATTAGAACATATAATGCGACCCCATATAATTGGATTGGTTCAATTCGGTTCTGTCGGGTCTACCAAAACCTAACACCAATCAACTAATGGTCAGAAACATGATTGTAATCCTACATATTTGAAGGAGCCAGAGAGTGTTGATTTCGATTATTGGTCTTCACTGTTGCACAGAGAAAATTTGGCCCATCGGCTGAAGCCTGAAGTTGACTTGGGAACGCAAATGGACGCGGCTACATTTGGAAGGAAAGAAAAAAAAGTGGATAAGAATTACACGGCCAACCAGAAGAGGGTATTCATTCTGGGCACTGTCCTTGACCTGTCCATGGACTAAGAGACGAGATGGTGGGATCTCAAATTACCCCGATACAGAGCTTTCTGTGTGATATATTATTGTCAAGGCCAAGTCTTTTCCGAATGGAATCGAAAGAAAGAGTAGGTTCGAGAGCTCAAGTTGCACCTTGTGGGACAACAAGTTGCACCTTACTCGTTCACAATTTCAGCCCTCGGTCCCACTTATATCTACATGGGGTCGCATCGATGATCATGTATTCACCGCGTGATACAGGAGCCCAATCTCCAATGGCAATTCGTTACAAAAGAGAATGTTTGTTTATACTGCAATTTGCATTAATATCAACTTAAGATGGAGTAGTTGGGGTAGACCAGAATACCAGATTCAGTGAATATCATCAAAGAAACAAGTTGGGATCAGTATGAAAATAACTAATTTTTGTTAAACAATTATTCAGTCTACAGGGATTGAAAATATCACTATATAAAGAAAGAGTCATAGTTCATAAGTCTGTCATTGCAATTTGTAAGTCAGCTCTAAGGAGTCCTTTGATCTTGTTTATTAAACAACTTGAGGTCTACTTCCTTCTAAGCGCAAGGGGTTAATTAAGCCCGGCTGCTGGCTCTTTCTGAGTTGCCCAACATGGCACGCCTTTGGCCAAGCCTGTTGTATGTTGTGGCATTTTGCTTGGTAGCCACCAGCTGTGCAGCTTTGCAGCTCCCCCCATTGTTTTATGAACCACCGCCACCTCCGCCCTACTATAAGTCCCCACCTCCACCACCATCATCAACATCTCCCCCTTCATCCTACTACCAGTCCCCACCTCCACCCCCTCCGTCGCCACCATACTACAAGTCTCCACCCCCACCATCTCCATCCCCTCCTCCTCCCTCATCTCCACCTCCATCACCACCTCTACCATCTCCACCACCACCCCCTCCATACTACAAGTCCCCACCACCACCGTCTCCTCCTCCTCCATCACCACCTCCACCATCTCCATCACCTCCCCCTCCATACTACAAGCCCCCACCACCACCACCACCTCCACCATCTCCATCGCCTCCCCCTCCATACTACAAGCCCCCACCACCACCTTACTCTAAATCCCCACCCCCACCACCACCCCCCTATATATAACTAGAAGTCACTATCTACCATCTCCAAAGATACCACTGCTGCCTACTCTATGCTAGTTTAAATCACATCTTCCAATCCAGTGTGAGAACCTCCTCTCCCACAATCACCACATTCTCCTTAGTAGCACAACTCACCAATCCCTCCATATCTATCTCCACTGCCTCTTTATCAAGACAATGCCCACCTCCTCTGTCTCCATATCTCCATGAATGTACTAACAAAGTTCTGTTACCACTCCCCAAAGTCTACAAGAAGTTACCTCTGCATTTCCAATAGCATGAATAAGGATATCTGAATTCTGAAATAGTGCGTGTTTCAAGCAAGCTTTCAGCTGCTCTAAAGCTTTGATTTGCGAATAAAGTAAAGAGAAGTTTGTGTTCTATTCTGCGTGCAGTATACAATATGTAATTTTCATTAAGAAAAATAATTGGCTGAAGCCAGAAGCTGTTCAAGCAAAAAAAAAATCATTTCGAACCGTTGTTTTTCATTTTTCACAAAATAGTAATTCGAATGCTTTCACTGGTTTAAATAGCCAACTGCCAACTACTGCTGGTGAAGATGTTTGGACCGTGGGAATGAAATCATTGTTTGTGTTGCGTATGTCTATTTGTGAGATTCTTATTGGTTTTCTTGTTCACTTGGTCAGACAGAGAATTCCCCTATTAAAGCATAGAATCAATCGATCAAACGTGAACAAATGAATACACCAGGTGACATTTTTAACATAATTGCACGAAATTTTGATGAACTATGTGCAAATGTTCATAAACGCATCGAATTGGACTTTGGAATAAATACAAGTACTTGGTCTATAAATACACATAAGTCGTGAAATTCTGATTGCAGTCTACAGAAACGATTCATTATTCATTCATTTTGCAATCTACGACGTTTTGTTACATCCAATAATACTCTGAATCTCTGATTAAACTCCAATTTCTTCTTACATGGGAGTAAAGATCCGATCCAACAACAACCAAGGGTTGGTTTTGAGAGGTTTGCTTCTTCGTTCATTCCGTTGGTAATTTGGTAATTGGAAGTTTTACTGTTGTTTGGACATTGGACTTCTCAGCTCAGACCATAATCAAAATGCCTTGTCCAGTTGAAGACGGAGGGGGGTGAAGAAGTGGCAAATGTAAATCTGACATTTAGTAAATGATCTTCACAAGGTATTATAGTAAATTTACATCTGCATGCGGCATTTTCAATCTGAAAAGTTAACGGGAGATAACCGTCTATGTATTTTAAAAAAAAAAAAACTTGGGAGAGATTTTGCTAGGGTCAAAAACATGAGAAGTTTATAATGATAATCAGAAAACCCAGGGAGGATTTCATACTTTACCCTAAAAATAATCACATAACAAGACCAAAAAGTTAAAAGAGCTTGATCTCTGAGCAGCAATAAGCAAAATTGCAAAAAAAGCTTTAATTAACTTGAATTTACAATGCTAGATGGAAAGTGCATCCTCGGGAAAAGAAGGGGGGAGGGTTAAGGCTATAAGGTCCTAAAGAAAATAGAATAACCTTGAGCAAGAATAAGCATGTTCTTTCAGACAGAAGTGGCAGCAGAGCAGCTGCATTACCGATCATCAAGCACCTAAATATTTACTCTTTAACTATGACATTTCACTGAATCTCGCAATAGCCTTCTTCTGCACGAGGATTCGGTAACTGTCACCTGCCTGCACCTCTAGGCTCGGGTCCAGCTTCTTCTGCTGCCTACTCCCAAGTCCTGCTCTATCTTCAACAGCTTGTGCTTGGACTGGTTCAATTATGCCACTGCCATCCTTTCCTAGTCCCTATATTTGTCAAAGAGCAATGTAGCAAACATCAAAAAAGGCCTCAAATCTCCAAATTAATGTCAAACTAGAGCATCAATCGAGTAACTGGAAGTCTGGAACACCAATAAAATATGCAGCTAAAACATTGAATTTCCAAAACATAAAATAATACAATTATATTACGACTAAGCTCAAAATACACAACTTAAAAAAATAGACCAAGTCCATCGGCTGCCATGGGACCTTAAAGTAGGACCACAAACACTCCATTATCATCTAGTTGCAAAATCCATATAACATTCTTTCCAGTGATCAAGAGGCCCATGACAGCCATGGTTCGTAAGGCTAGCAGGAAGGCTCTTACCAAATAATACTGCAACCAGGACACCAGGGCATCTTGGTCAGATATATGATATCACTGTTATTCTATGGTATGAAGCCATAACCATTTCCTAGTATGTTTCCTCACAAAATCAAAAATTTCAATTGATAAAGGTCAGTGACCATATCAAAGAATAATACAAACGAGGGTGAGCTCACCAAGCCTTCTTGCCAACCCATGCTACGGAGCATTCGGTTACCCACATTGCTCTCATCAATGGCTCTATCAGCTGTGATCACTTCATAGCTCTGAACATTAACATCACTAGCACCACGTCCTCCAACACCAGGGGGAAATGGCATTGTACCAACATCTGAACCTTTTCTATATGCCAAATCCCGATCTTCACAAAGAATTGTAAACACAGAACTCATTATAATGTTAATGAAAATCTTCAGTGAAAAGACTGAAAACCCACAGAACTGGTTTGACAGATTTCTCGTTAATCAAACTAAATATTTTCCCAGTTTAGAGCAATCTACTGTGGCACTTGTAAGCACTACCTCATGCCCTAATACATTGATGGCATGTCTTGCATATTATTCTTTAGCAAGACTGGCAATGGCATTTGATATATTCCTAGAGAGGAATGCATAACATGGGAAACCACTCAAATTAAACTGTTAAGCATGCTTACTTGAATCTCCAAGTCCAAGGTCTGAGATATCATCTCCAATAGAGGATGATGAAGATCCATAAAGGTTCCTCCTTTCAGCTGCACGGTCCCTATATGTTGTATGAGGTTGTTCCCTATGAGAAGAAACTGGCTGTTGTGGCATCTCAGAAAACCTCCTTTTACCACTGCCCGCAGCCACAGGTGAAACATAAGAACCCAGTGCAGATGCATCCGTTCTAAAGGGAGTCACAGTCATTGGTCCATCTGAATTTGCTGCTGATAATGCCTCTCCACTGCTTGAAACAGCCGTTAATGTTGAAGCCCCAGTAGAAGACCCAGAATATATTGTATCTGACTTTACTATTCCTCTTCCGGAACCTCTAATTACACCCATTAGGGTGCCTCCTAAGCTGTTACTTACAGGTTGTGGCTTAATCTGAGATTCCACAACAGTCTGCCCCAAAATAGGTGTAGTTGAGGCATTACTATTTCCACGAGCAGCAGCAGCAGAGGCTGTTGTCACATTTTCCTTTACCGAAACAGAATCCGTTCTGAATTTACCCTTTCCAGACACTCCTGCAGCACTGGACCTGTCATCTGTTGAAGCCAATGGCTGACTATCATCAAGAACAACACGAGCCGCCTGACCCTCATGATTTCTTTGTTTCCACATGGTTAAGACATTAGTCATCTTCTTCTTGCTTGCCAGAATACTGCTCTTTGATGCAAGCCTTATCTCTTTCATCTTCTCCTTCTCTTTCTTCTCTGCAGCTAGCGCTGCAGCAGCAGCAGCCTGGACAGCATCTGGTAGTGAGGCTTTCTCACTTGATTTTATGGTAGCAGCAGGAGCAGATATAACTACTTTTCCTTTACTGGTGCTATCTGATGTTTTTGAAGCTTCACTTGTTGCCTTGTCTGCTGTCTTGTTATCATTCTGATCACCACAGGGAACGTACTGCTGAGTTTGATGATCATAAGAATACCATGTTCCATTGTTACCATCATAATATAGGCCTGCATTGCATTTCAAAAAATTAAAACTGATAAACAGCTACAATAAGATGCAACTTGTATTATAGCATAGAGGACCAGTGATAACCTTTGACAACCATTTATGCACTTCTGGAAAAAGAGTTTATCTTTCTTTCATCATGTAAGACTAATCAAAGAAGTATCTTTTTACGAACAAATCAAAGATGTAAATTTAAATGCCAAAATAATACAGATAGAATGAAATCGTCAAGCTTGATTTTAAAACTATTCTTTGGGGTGATTGGTGAGGGAACATTTAAAGACGCTACTAATTTGTCTCAAACAATATGGTTGTACCAACCAAATATTAGGGAACATTAAGAGCCAATTCAATAGCATAATTCCTCTCTACAAATCCTCAAGAAAATTCTAGCACAATTTATAAGAACTGGGATCATGAAAAAGAAGACAGGAGGCTGATGCACAGCAATCTGTGTGACAAACTACATAACACATTAACCCCCTCCCACCCAACCAGCCACCAGACAAGTAAAGATGGTTTTATTTGGCAACATTTCGGGAAAAAAATTGCCTTTCTGTTCCAGGGAACAGAAAAATAACTATTTTTATCTTGCTTGGATCAATAAAAACATGGGAAACATGTAAAATTATCAAATGCTGGTGCATGTAGACACTCACCTGGACTGAAGCACAGAGTGTCCAGGCACATGTCTTTGCTCTTTCAGTTCATGCATATTTTGTTATATGCTTTACACTATTCTAATGGTCCACTAGTGTTAAAAGCATTTGATATTCTTGCTTGGAGCCTTGTACTATGTACACTGATAATAATTTATTAAATTTTAAAATGAACAAAAGCATAGAGATGTTTATTGTTGAATATTTCAAGGCAATAAGCTCTTTGGTCCAGGAATAGATCTACTTTTTTTTTTGATAAATACAGGTACATACAATTTTCTTTGCTTCTTTCTTTGCTCTCCTCTTAAATGTTCAGAGTCGCATTCTTTTTTCAACTTTAAATTTTTTAATAAAATAGTAATTGAGTTGTTTAAGGTTATTAAACTGTTGAACATGCTTCATAACTTGAATGCTTTGTTTTTCTTGTTAGGTATGTCAAATCTTTTATTTTTTTTTCAAAAGTCACACCCCACTTCATTCTAGCTTGTACCTTGCACCTCATTTATTTCAACATTTGGAAGCCACTTCACTTTTAAAGGACTAAGAAAGTGGGACATAGTTGCAGGTCTACTCGAAAAAGAAGGTTGTTTGACCAAGATTAGATCGTGCCAAACGGTGGGAGGACCAAATTTAATGTGCTTTGTGCAGCCTTGGAATCGCAGGTACTGGTGGGGTTTTCAGAAGCCCTGAAGGTACTGTTCTCAAGAATTTCTAAGGTATAATCAAGGTTCAAAATATCAACATGAAGCTCGCATTTTTTTCCGGAGGGGGGTCGGTTTAGAGTCCTACCCCCTGAACTAGGTGGGACTCCAAAACACCAAGTATAGAGGTGCATCGGAGACCCTCCGACATGATACGTATCAGCCGATTTGTCCCAATATGTTGCAATATTCCGATCCTTGGGTATAATAGGAGAATGCAATTTCCCAAGAATCGAGTTGCTTGCTCTAAGCTAATGGAAACAAAGTAAAATTACCAGAACTACAAAAACATTATAAAATATTGGAAACCTAATATAAGTTATTAGAAAAATACAGACTAAACATCAGTATACACTTAGGAGTCGATAACCAAAACAACTATTAAAAATAGGAAAGATAAAATATAGAAAATGATGTACATCACTGCACATATCCAATAATCTTAACATCAAAAGAATATATAAATAGCTATAGTCATGATGATAAAGTAATGCATCTACTACAAACAAATATCCATTTATGGCCAATTGAAATTTACAGATAATTTTATTTTCTACAGTTTCCTAAGGTTTTAAATAGAACCTAACATTTTTTATTACTTTTTAAAAGTAGACCCTTCTTTCTCAAAATGTTTTTTAGGCTTTTTAGTTGGTACATTATTGTGTTGCGACAGAAATTATGTATTTTTATTATACAATTGTAAAAATTCAATTAGAACAATCAAAACTTGTTGTAACTTTAACAGAAGTTATGACAAGTTAGACTTAAAATTCAACCAGGTGTTCCTTAAGAACTAGAAGCATCCTGGTAAAATTAATTTGGTTTTAGAGCAAGTTCAAAGCCATGGACAGTGGTTGAAATGATTAATTGCTTGGATTTCTTGTAATAGCCTCATTCAACAGAAAGATGGGCCAAACAGACTTTAATTTAGCAGACTCACTTGAAAGACAGGTACTGCACTAGTTGCAGACTTGCAGCTGAAATACTTGAATTCTCTGGGGAGCTTCACATTATCGTGAAATTCAAATAATGTTGTTCATTCAATCATCCTAACAAAATGTCTTCTTAAAAAGCAATTAAAACTATAAAATTATTCATTTTTGTGTGAAAACTAAGAATTTCAGACCTAATGTGGACTTGTTTGGGGGCTTGCCTCTAGGGGCATGGCCGCGTGGCACAAAGGCGGCTCGTAGAATCGGGAATGTAACATGTTTTACATTACATTAGCTACTTGAAGTAATGCATATGAGTGAAAAAAGAGATTAGAGGTTTTACATGCTTGAAAATGTTTTATATGTTTGATTTTATTTTTAAATTCTCATTTGAATATGCTTTAGATCTTATGTTTATGTATTTTAATTTTAGATAATAGGTTTTTTAAAACATTATTTTCAAATTTAAGTTTAGATTTTTTATTATTATTATGTTTAATATTTTTATTATTTTGAATTTTTTGGCTTTTTTAATTTTCTGACATTTTTTATATTTTAGCTTTTTTTTTGTATTTTTGCACCTTGCTTCAAAAAGGCGTGCGCCTCGCCTTGCGCCTCAGGCACAAATTGACCCCTGCGCCTTGCGCTTTTAAACCACTGACTGCACTAGTTGCAGGCTTGCAGCTGAAATTCTTGAATTCTCTGGGGTCAGCTTCACATTATCGGTTGTTCCCTGCCATTAAGAGTCCCTTAACAGCAGATGTTCACTCTAATAATATCTTCATTAATAAAACCCCTCTTGATTCTTGTGATTTACTATGATTTGAATCAATTCCTTAATCAGAAAATCATTTATTTACATTATTTGAGACCATATATTGGATTTATCTTTCATATATGTAGGTTAAAGAGTCGTTGGATGTATATTATTTGAATTTCAAGTCAAAATTGATTATATCATTTAGGCTTCTATTGTAGAAGTGGTAAATTCTAATGCTTTAGGATATGATTATGATTTTCAAAACATTGTTGTACTCTTTTCTCTTTTAGCAAAAAACCCTTTGTTGATTTATTACTTTCTAGTAACAAGATAGCATACATTGGAAATATCATTTAATTTTCTAGTCATAATTACCATTCAAGTGTAAGAAATTAGGAATCATTTGTATGAAAGTTGGCCTCTTGCTCTTCTTTCCTGTAAGAGTGTCTCATTTGGGTTTCTTGATTTCAAGCAAGGTTCAAAATATCGATACGAATCGATACAGTTTTTCAGGCCTTTTTTGTATTTTTTTTTCGCAACCAGTTCAGGGGGTCTGGTTTAGGTCTCCCCTACCCCCTTAACCGGTCAGACCTCCAATACACCCACTGTAGGGCGTACCAGAGGGGTCCTGGAATGATACGTATCAACCGATACGGGCCGATATGTGTCGATACTTTGAACCTTGATTTCAAGACACCCACGTATCGACTGATACAGGCCGATAAAGCTCATGATGGGAGACTCAAGAGAAAAAGGTTAAGATAAGATGGAATAATGAGTAAAGCGTAAATTCTACCTGCAACTACTTCATAAATGTAATAAAAAATAGACACCAACCTGTATTTCCATCATAGTAAAATCCAGAAGCAGCATCATAGTAATAGCCAGATGCTTCATCCCATACAAACCCAGATTGAGGGGCTGAGCCATCTTTATGAACAGCATTATCAACACCACTTTTCTCCTGCCCAGATCCAGATTGTTTATCATCTGGATTATACTCTTTTGGTGCCCATCCAACAGCATCATACTAAATAGAAGAAAAAAAAAGGAAGAGATATAAAATATAAAGTTAAAAAAATACTACCACGCAGTCTATGAATGATAAACTAATAAAAAATAACAGTTTAACCTCTAACCTCTAAAAGGGTGGAAAACAATCAAATGCTATACAAGGAAATTGGACATATAGGACAATCAGCATTAACCCTACTAGAGAGCTGTACCCAGTGCTTTTTCCCTTTTTCACATCACCTTTTTTATGGATAACAAAATTCTATAATATTACAAAAAGAATGGTTTAATTATATAAGATACACAAGTGTTTTTCAATCTTTTCATGAGGCTGGCAAATGTCCCCTCCCTTGACCATATATTTGTTCCCTTGTAACAAAGAATGTCCCCATTTACCTTTGTCTAACCAAAGCAACGGCCAGCCCATTAGCTGATCAGTAGATCACATAGAAACAAGCTACCAGTCCTGTTGAAATAGCTCTCATCTCTCTCAAGTATTTTCAATAGTTCCAGGGCCATTGCTTGTTTTATGCATTCCCATAGAAGCCTGCTTTCCTAATATTCAGGTTCTTTGCCAATCTTAGACCATGCCATGTTGCCAATACCCCATTGTTATAAAGTCGCCATTACCTATTGGTCTTGAGTATATGACCATTATTACATTCCCAATTATAATCTCAGAAGACACCACCAATACCTAAAGCTCCAAGGTTGCCCATGCTACAGCTATGAAATTTTAGTTTAGCTTAACTACACCTTCTTGAGGAGGGTATCAAAGGTGAGAAAATAGCAGACCTTTTTTGTAATTAAGAATTATTGTCATGGAGCAAAAAAGAAATATACAAGTATTTGAGTTTTGACACTCCAGCAGCCATATAGGAGACTCCCAATTATTACCTACAAAAAAGTGAAAGAAACAAAAACACAACCAACAAATCCAACATCCAAATCCCGAATTTACATACCACACCAACAGCCAAAACAAAGAATGACAGAAAAACAACTTCACTCCAGACAACATCCTCATCAAAAGTAATTCTCCAGTAAGAAACACCATTCCCAACTTTGACATAATGAAGAAGAACCACTTCCCAATCTCAATTATCAAAAAAAAGAACCACTTCCCAAATAGATGCCTCTGGATTCTTCACTTATCCACTTTGTCCATACAATCAATTTTAAGCTGTCCTATGGTACACATATCATATGATTTTGAATTTGTCACTCTCTCATGTCTAATACCATAAATACTCTTGTGAGTCTAGAAAAAGCAAGCCTATTTTCTCATCATCAACAACAAAGAAAGCCTTAAAGAATGAGAAAAAATAATAGCCCCACCCCTATAAATTGGTCGCAGGATCAAATAAGGTAATGTACAACTACAAACACAGTCAATTTGAAAAGACTATAGCTAATCGGAACAATAGAAGCCCAGGGCTACAAGCATCTTCAGGAAGTTATTGAACAGTAAACAGATTTGTCTCAATGCAATTACATGGAAGTTGATCTCAATCATGAGACCATAACAAATTGTCTATCGTCACTGATGCACCAAAAGAAGTTTCTAACTAAGCTCTGAAATACCATAGAAAAGGCAACTACATTTCATGCAGCACTCCCCAACAATAACTACATAAGTCAACAACATTAAACATCTACTGAAAGTTTAAAATCATCCTTCTGATAAAATCAGGATGTGAATAGACAATACAAGTACAACAACAAAACCTGTTGAGCAAATGTTGCAGCCTCAATTGCAGCAGCAGCAAGGCTGCTTGAAGCCCCAGATGTTCCTGACCCTGGACCATGGATGCTTTTAGCATATGCAACACGTAAAACTTGACCATTCTTCTCCAAGGTCATACCATTTGCAGCTTCTAGAGCTTTGGTAGCATCCTCTACCTAAAACAAACACATACAGGAGGGATGAAATAGACATAAGAAACAACCTCAACTTGAGAGAGAGAGAGAGGAAAAAAAGAGCTTAGCTAAATCAGTGGATACTGAAGAGTAGACCTACCGAGTGAAAATGGACAAATGCAAAGCCCCTAGAGACATGGGTAAATTTGTCTCTAACAAGTCGAAGGTCCTGCAGATAAAAATTAGTAAACTTCTGTGATCTTGTCAGAGGAAAATGCACTAGATGATCAATTAACGAGCATTTACTACCTTGATTGGAGCATGTTTTGAAAACTCATATCGAAGCATTTCCTCGTCAGCATTTTCATCCAGCCCACGGACAACAAGCACATGAGTAGGACCTGGTAAAGGTAACCATTTTTGTTATCAAGACAACAATAAATATAAAATGCATAACATATCAGAGTAGTAACCTGAACCTACCAGCCTCTGGTCCCTTTTTTCCCAATGTTGCTGGGTTAGATGATCCCACATCAGCTGCTGGAGCATCATCAGCTCGTGCCTCGTTACACTGCATTTGCAAGAAAGAAACAAAGATGACATTAATGCAGTGCTAGCCAAACACGAACTCATTAACAATGCAATTATATACATCTTATGTCAAAGAAAGCTAGTTACATTGTTATGTATCATAGATTTATATGGCACTTTATCTAAACCCAATATTTAGGGGAGCCACTGAAAAACAGCTTGTCTAGGCTGTAAAATCATCACCAACTAGATACAAACAACTTAGTGTCATACAAGGAGGCATATTTAAAACTTCAGCAAGCAAGATCTTAACAATTTATATTAGAACTTCAGCAAGTGAGATCTTTAACAATTTATATTAGTCCAATTGGAATGAGTAGTCCAATACATGCTGAATTTGGCTAGCTTTATGTTATCACTTGAAATAGAAGGGTACTAGTGTTGTAATAGGTTGAGTAATGTGAGTACCTTGGATCCATAATCATAGTACGACAAAATCAGTACCTTGAGTAATGTGACACGTGTTTTATCAGTAAAAAATGTATAATTACTTTATAGATGTGGTATATGTATATATATATATATATGTTTAATTTATATTTTTAATTCAGTTTTTAATTTTTATTTGTAAAAAATGTTAGCAATTGCAATTTGAGGCAAAAAATAGGGTTTTTTGGGGGGAAATAGCGGGCCAAGGTGTCTTTAGCACCTTTGGATGCATAGATCTCAAAATGTTACCCGAAATAAAAAAAAAAAAGTCAGTCAGATTGGACATCCAAGCGGACCTCCATAAGTTTGCACATACATTGAGTGTGCAACCCATGACTTGGTGACCGGGTCGAATGGGTTGAACGATTCAACCAGCCAGATTGAACAGCTTTTGACCAAAGACCAGGTTTTGGGAGAACCGGACCTAGAATCATGGTCGGGGTGATGGTTGGAACGGTTCAACCAGCAAGGTCAACAGTGCGTTGAAAACACTGGATAGGACATCTCAATACAATGGATTCTGGGAAGTACAAATTTCTAGGCTGACTCCATGGCAAAGGAAGAAGCTAACAGGACTGAATTATATTGGGGGCCTGACCTCAGACTCTCGGAGGCATGCAACTGTAATAGTTTTAACTCTGTACTTGAGACTTGAGAACCAAGTCAAGCTAAGCATGCCATATTTTATCATTCTTTAATGAAATACAATATAACAGTTAATGATAAAAAATGTTCAGGCAAAACAATTAACATTACAAGAAACCCCAAATAGAAAGTTAGAAACTCATAACATAAAATCCTGATAACTTAGGATCCCAGCTTCCAAGTCAAAACGGTTAACATTAGGAAACATTTCAACCATTCTCAGATCCTTTAGTATCACAAATATTCAAACATCCGAGGTATGAGAAAGAGAGGGGGGATAGATGGAAGGAGGGAGCTCAAGATTTTTAAACGCTAAAAAGCAGGGGTGAGACAGCTAGACTTGGAGAGAAGAGGCATAGATCCCCATGTGTTTTGAATAAATAAAAAAATATGAATCTAAAAAGGAACATGCAAGGTTTGTTAGTGATAGGACTAACAATAGGGCTGTAAATCCAATCAGGTGATCCATTATCCACGAGAGATGTCTATAGTACCATTTTTCAACGTTTTTTTGTGAAACAGATAAATTTTTGTACTAAGTATAATGAGAAAATATTTTTTATCTTATTTTTATTAGGAAAACATATTAGATAAATATACTTTGAATAAGTTATATAAAAACCTTTTGAGAACTTGGTATTTAAAAGGTGGCTTCATTAGTCAGAGGTGTACAGCACCAGCAACCTGAAGTGATTTATTACAAGTTGAAAGAGATAGTAGAGCTAGGGGCAGACAAAAAACATGCACTAAAGTAGTGAGAAACGAATTAACGACCCATAATACAATAAATGACATGGCACTGAAAAGGATAGAATGGTAGAACAGGATTCATGTAGCCAATCTCATATAGTTGGGACAAGGCTTAGATAGTGATAGCGATGGCGACGATGATATGTTAAAAATTAAAGAGATTTTAAATAATATATAGCAATTATGTAATTGCATTTTATAAAGGAATTATAACTTAAATAGAGATTTCAGGAAAAAGAGAGATGCATAAAGAAAGAGTTAAATGAAAATGAAAAGTGGGATGCATACTGTAATAATATCCACTGGATAAGTTTTAGAACCCTCTTTTCAAAAGGAGATTGAGACTTTTTTATTAGAAAAATGAGATTGACAATACGAACTTAAGATATTATGTTCTTTGAATTTTGATTTTTGATAAATTTTGTATTTTGATTTTTAGGAGACATTAAAGAGAATATGTATGGCATTTATTGAAGCAATGACCATGTAAGAACTTCTATAAGCTCTTTTCCACATACATTAGATTAGATCAAATCCATAAATGAGAGTAGTCATGGTTTGGTTACTGCAAAAATCTGCGAAGTGTCAACATGCATGAAACAAAAAATAGCTTTCTTTATTTTAAAAACAAAGCTTCCTTTTAGAGGTACATTCCTCTTACTATTTCAGCCAAAAGGCTAGAGGTTCATGACTTGGAATTTCTGTGGCCTGAACCTCTTATGAATTATGCAAGGCTATTAGGGCAAGACATCGTGCACAATAAAGAAAACAGAATAAAGCATCACCAGAACAGCAAGGAAACAAACCTGAAAACAGGACGTTCGCCGTGCAAAATTCACACAGCCACACATCGTGCACATCCAATCAGATGGTGGTGCAGCACTTCTATGATTCCCATAACTTGATCTTGCTGCACCATCTTGACCATAAGGCCCACCTGCCCCACCAGTTGGCTTGCTACTGTAGCACAAGATAGTTAACAATAAAAGAAGGATGTTCAAGGGTGAGAACATGTCAAAGATGTGAAACCATAACACATGCCAGTCTAGAACAGCAGAACCAAGGTTAGTTTTAAACGCTTCTAACTGTATTGCAAAGGAGAATAGGAACAACATTATTAGACTCAGACCAGACATAACCAGTTAGCTCATTCAAACTGTGTAAACCATTATTTAACTGGGATACAGAAATGTCACTAGGTCAGTGGTTCAACTTTCTGGCCAGGTCTGAGTCTTACAACACTCAATAGAAACCCAATGGTCTTCGATTACTATGCCAACATTATTAAAATCATAATAGGGGATGAACGGAAACGTGATAGACACGGCCTCCACAATACAAAGATAACCAAGATGAAATGTAATGAATGAAAGGATCAACAGCTTTATATTGAAGATGAGGAATAAAAGAATTCCAATGTTCTAAAAAAACACCTACAATGCCATATGCTCTTCTATCATCATTAAATGACCATTAACAAATGCTACAAAAAGTGAAAAACTAAACCCTGTTTTTGACTTGTCAATACAGGGAATAACAATTCTCTTCCACAAATCCAAGTCAATCAAAAAACAATACAGTTATAAGAAAAAGTTAGCCTGTGTTATAAAGCAATGATAAAACCAGACAAATCCATAGAAAACTAGCAAACAGACCACTGTTTGTTTAAAAACCAGCATTAGAACAATTGCTAGCAGGACTTCACATGTTTCATATAAAGAATTTAAAATCAAGCAGGCCAATAAAAGGGTACTCAGGAATCAGCAAACTGTTTCCATTTAAAATCATATACCTGTACTCAAAGAAAAGCTTCCTTCCATCCACAACAAGACCATCATCTCCAATTCCATCCATCATCTTGCGTGCATCTCCCTATGTTGAAATTATGAACTTCAGCATGACCAGCTTACAGTAAATAAAATTTTTAAACAACAGTCACATGATGACATACCACAGAAGGGAAATCAATAAAAGCAAATCCACGAGAAATGCCTGAATTGCGTTCTTTAATTACACGCACATGACGAAGTGGTCCCCATTCAGCCTAACAGAATCAGTAATTCACAAAGAATATATTGATGAGAAAAGGCAGAAGAAGAAAGAAACTATTTTAGTAACAGGTGGAAAAGAGGCATACAAGAATTTGGTATAAATCCTCTTCGGTGGTCTTCTGGGACAGACCCTTCACAACAACAGTAGCTGAAGGGGCCTACAAAAGAAATAGAATCCACTAAGGTCCTCGAAATTGCAACTATGTAACAAGCAAAGTAAAATTACAATGTCACATTTCAGACATACCACAGAAGAATGCTCATGATGACGTTTTTCATCATGATCCCTTCGTTTTTCATTTCTTTCATGTCGACTGTCATCATAGCTGTCCTCACGATGACTTCGACCATGGCTGCGGCCTCGGGGAGACCTTGATCTAGGCCGTTCATCACGCCCCCGAGACCGAGAGCGCTCATGCCTTCTATGTGGACTCTGATCCCTTTCACGACTCAGACCTCTCTTGTCACGGTCACGGTCACGGGAGTCACGCCTTCTCCAACTACTGTCCCTCCTGCTACTCCTTTCATAGTCAGAATCATAACTATACCGCCCATAGTCATAATCTCTCTCACGGCTTTCCTCTCTACTTGGGTGGGAACTACGGTGCCTGAAATCATAATCATCAATTGGAAAATCATCACGATCACGTCCTCCAAACCTAAAAGGTCTATCATACCCATAATCACGATAGCCATCAACATCACGGTAGGTATCAATACTGCGATAGTTGTCACGAAACTTATCAACTTCTTGATATTTATCCAGCTCACGATAATTGTCAGCTTCACGAAGATTGTCGATCCCATGAAAAGAATCAAGGTATGGCTTCTCATGTCTTCTAGATTCCCTAATGAGTGCATATTCTTCATCAAAGTTTCTCCTTCTTGGTTGAGGCCAAGCACCAGCAACAGATGGTGGTGGTGGATAACTATCCCTCTCAAGTATGTCCCGGTGGAAGGTTTCCCTTGGATAGATACTATCCCTTGAGAACCCCTCATCTAAAAACCTTCTACCATCATATGAACCACCAACCCTGCGAGAAGCGTATTAAGCGGAGGGAAGAAAAAAATACAGTGATATAACATGCATAACATACAAAATTGAAACTTTAGTAGTTAGAAATGATACTAACCATGTAACCATAAATCTAAAAGCAGCATGAATTGTTTCAATAGGAAACAGAGAGAGCACTTCCTTAGGTATACAAAAAAGGAGCACATGTGTGCTTTTAGACGAAGAAAAAATGAAAATATACAAAATGAATCCTCCATGTACTTGTGAACGAAAAAGGAGCAAAATGACATAAAAAAAAAAAACACAGAGCAAACAAGCATCATATATACTATATTTATTAGTTTGAAACATATCAAGGAAAATGAACATTGCATATGTCACACTATTAATACATTAAAACATCGTAAAGGCAAATGAACATCATATAGGGAATTCTTAGTAAAACAGAACTATGCACTCCTGCTATGAGAAGCATCCATCAGCACTCACCGGTAATCTGGCTCATGCACTGCACCATACCCCTCCAAAGCCTGTGGATTCAAGAGAATAAGTGAAGTCAGCAACTAATAATTATATACGGGGTATGCAAATCGATTCCATATCCTCACTGGCCCACAACTTTCTCTCACTGTTCTTTTAGGATGAGATGCAGTAAAAATGGAGGACAATCACATGAGCCCTAATTTCTTGTGTATCATCCCGGATAGGTAATTAAGGAGGAAACCGCAATTACGCTGTTATTATCCCATCCTTGCTGGAGTACATAGCGTCCAGGATCCATTTCTTGCAAAGCGCACTGGAGTTAGCCCTGCAAGGCTCTTGCTGATCTTTCAGATTTCGGAAGCAGATTGTTTGAAAACCTTTCCTGTAATGGATGCACAAATAGACTAAGTTATGCCAACTTGAACCAGGAACCAATTGTCATGGTTGGGCCACCCTTTCTATTGGAGTCCTCAAAGCCCAAATCTTCCCATAAAAACCAATCTCCAAGCTCTCACAACGAAAAAGGTATTATAAGGTCCTGATTGTTGAAAGTCAAAACTATCTTGGAATAATACAAACCAATGCCATTCTAATACATCAACCAAGAAAAATAATGTCAAAATCAACTTTCAAATACACACACATACAGACTACTAAGCATTATACTTTGCAAATTACAATAAAAATTAGTAACACAAAATGGATGCGAGCACAAGGAAAGAACCACTTGTTGGATAGAGTAGCTAAGAACTAGCAGTAGAACATCACATAAAATTTTTAAAAAGCATCTGCTCCTACTTAATAAACAGTAGATTAATGCTACTATAAACCCAAAGCCATAATAATAACACTAAGATTCTTAAAACCAACACAACCAGATCTCATGTATTGGTTTGGTAAAGAAATGTCATTTTGTGAGCTGGGGAGGGGACCACAAGCTACACTAGGACATGCAGAAGATATCCATGTTCCATATGGAAGGAGAATCTTGAATAGATGTTTCCTCCAACAAATAAACTCAAATTCCAAATTGCACCAGTATAGTGCATTCAATCATAAGTTTGCAATGTACTCCCTGGAACCCAGCGTGCAACTAAAGAGCCATAGAATATAGAACATGGGAACCAGTTCAACCCCATTGATGAGATCAAACTAGAAAGATGATGAGACTACTGTCTCCACTGGTCATTCTGCCATACTTACCAGGTCATCAGCCCCCAGCAGTATATATATATACCAGATAGTTGATGCCAAGATAAAGACAACTATTTCTTTTCCCCCTTTGTACATATAAAATTATATGTAGAACTAAAATAGATCCCAAGAAAACTAAATAAGCACAGTCTCGACGACAGAATGCCTATTCAGCCACAGAAAATACTAATGAAAATCAATCTTTCTTTTATTTTGATCAGCAAATGGTAATGGAAATCAGTGAGATTCAAAATAACAGAATAAATCCATAATGGTGGAATAATTAGTAGACAAAAAATGTTAGAGAAGATAGTTAATTATTACTAATTATCATAGCCCCTTCCCCCTCACTAGAATAATTCATTCTCAAATAGAAACTACAAAGGCTTGCAGCAAGGAGCCAAGGAGATGATATATCTATTCCAAAATAAACTGCAACTTCTGATAAGAAATCACAAACACTTCTGCTTACTAATCTCCTGCAAGAGACAGAAGACAAAATCAATAACATCTTGGCTCATCTCTTCCCAAATCACAAAAAAGCAATCTCCAAACTTCTCCGGTTTCTAACTCCCCCTTCACTAATCTGAGATTTCAAACCTCAAGGTAAATGTTCCTCCTTGACCCTTTATTTTCTCTCCTAAAAGGTAGAAGATAATGTTGAGAATGAGACAAAGCAAACAAAAATGTCCTCACTCTCATTTTCCTTTCTTACTAGCAATGGCCCACGCAATGCACAGATTGCTGTTACAAAATGTTATTGGGATCAACTTCTTTACTGTTTCTGCTCCATAGTAACTAAATATGAAATCATTTTTCCAAAAACATAAAAATAAAAGAGACAAATGTTCCATGACATTTCATTGAAGCTCACCTTTATCTGAGTAACTTGGGAGGGAACCCACATTAGAACATCTTTTATGGACAACACAAAATTAGAACATTTTTTGATAGGTAAAACAAAATTAGAACATTAAATAACAAGGAATTTCGATTGGACTTAGTATCTCCGTCGGTTGTAATATAAGTGAGAGTTTTACTCCAATATTAAGATTTTGGGATTTTACTAGGGCTACAAATGGATTTATTCGATAAGGTTTCAGGAAATCCAAATTTGAATGAAATCTGGTGAATTTGTATAACAAATCTATGATACCCTACATGCCTAACATAATGTTGTTGGATACAATACCAGATACAGTATGAATACTTCTATATGTACTTTATGCCATTAACACTCTTAAAATAAGTACAATGGTTTTTTTGTATGTACATTTTAACAAATTATACTGCAAAAATATCTACACATGTTAGAAATTTAATTAAAGGTGGTAAATGTATTCATTGTATTGTACCATCTTTCTTTCTTAATTAATAAAATGTTGAGTTATTGATCAAAAAAATTATTTAAAGGTGGCAAGTCATAAGTCTTCAAAATGACATTTAGCTTCAAAAACTAGATATAAACACATGATATAAGCATATTATTATATAAGATACCCAAACCCATATCAGTGTCCAGGAATGTACGATATTGAGAGTTGTATCCCTGTTTCCCATATCTATGTCCATCTCCACATAAGTGCTTGGGCATCATAGCATTTAATAGTCAAATACAATTCAATTTATTCTGGGATATCCAATTGAAGTGGAGAAAAACTTCTGGAGAGGTTTATCAGCTCCATTCTTTATTTACAACAAGAACAATTAATGAATTCAATACAACCAACGGTCTCCTGAGTTCACACATCATCACTCCTTTCAAGCCTTCCAAATATACAACAAACCAACAATCCAATCTCAGACCACCCAAGTCAAGTGAAAATTCACAAAACATATATATCCTAACAACTGGGTCAAACTCTGAGGTATTTCCTTCCAAGTAAAAATAAATAATATCTCATAAATGAACCAAACTTTCATAAATACCCTTCCAACATGAATACACAAAGCCATGTTCAATTGAAGTCATCCTCTTATATAGGGTATACACCTTAAACCTCATACCACCAGTAGCTGCAAAATGAATCAAACTTGCAATAACATCCTTGCAATATGATATATACAAAGCCATGTTGAGGTTTTCTCCACTTCTCTTATATAGAATGTACCCTGTGAACCTCAGACGGCCAGTGGCTGCAACCCCAAGATGAAAAAGAAAAATAACCATCCCAGATGACATCCTGTTGTGTTTTCGTACATGTGAATTACTGCTACTAAACTCTACAAAGTTTATAATTAATGAAATTACAGGGGTCATGGCACACATTTCTTCCCCAAAGAACCTACAATCATTTACTGAATAATGCCAGATGGATAGATCTCCTGTTACCATAAAACATTCTATATCTCAATATCAAACCCCACCATCCGGAGTTAATAACTAAATCCATGGTCCAACAACCCACTTGAAAATTTCTCCATCTGCCCTCAACATTCACTAGAACACCCATGTGTTGCACACCTACTATCAAATATTTTGACCATCAAAAGAAAATTTCCAACATGCCCATAAATACAATAAAAATGTTTTGATCAGGAAAAGTCGTTTTATAAGCTCCATTCCTAAAGAGATGTGGCAGATGGATTATGCTGGTTATGAATTTTCTATATAGTTATACAAACATTCTAAATTTAAAAATACCAAAATCAATCTAATGAGAACAAGGTCCACCTAGCAAAGCAATGCTTCAAAGAAAATCCTGAAGTAATTCTTCATACATGATGTCATCAATTGCCCATGCAATTAAGGCTTGATTCTACAAGTTTCTGCATCAATCGTGCAACTATGAATACTAAATCTTGTATCCCGTTTAGCATATAATCTGATAACCTCCATATCAGGCAGATGAGATTTGGCAATCAAAAACATTTTTAGTTTCTGAAGTGAAACTATATACAAACTTTTCCCTTAGTAATGGAAGAGATTTATATATTGTTGCTATCACTAATATTGTGAGTAATACCATAATTCAAAAGCAAAATACCATTTCATACTGTAAGAGGAAGGCCCACTGTCTGATTATTTTTATCAATACCTACTGTCTGATTTATTGGAATTTCTATTCCATGATAGTTATCAAAATGACAATGTCAAATATTCACAGGGATTAAAAAGGATCTCTAACACTAAACAACAAGAGCAACAAAGCAATTTATTGCTCACACACATTCCAATATATATAGTTTTACAAAAATCAGCTGCATGCAAAGAATTAGTGCGACAGGCACATTCTGAAAAACCTATTTCTGCCCTTATGCTAGGTAATTTCCACCATGTAGGACAACATTCAGAAGGGGACATTATTTGGTATAATAGTAAAATCTTGGGCTGGTGAGCATTGAAAAAAAAAATGTCAAAGGTTAGTTAGACCATACCCCGTCTACCACTCCCAAGACCCAGGTAACAGGGACCAACATTGGGTAAACCATTTTAGGATAATATTCAGAAACTGATATTTGTAGGCCATATGATGAAAGAAGAACAGAGAAGAAAATGGCACATTTACAGATCAATTTGAAGTCCATGCACATGTATTGAGAAGAATTAACATTATGAGTATAAGTAAATAACACAATTAAAGGATACAACACAGTGCATGCAATATCGCATCTCTATAAACATGTGGAGAATAAAATGGCAATTATGATGTTCAAAAAGTTGTCAACTCCCACACCACAAGGAAGAATGAAGACAATACAGAAAATTAACATATGCAATAAATAAGTCTGCCACTCCAATTAAGAGTATATGTTATGCACATCCCTATTGTTATGACCGAGGAAATCAACAGGTTTACGTCATGGAGAATGTAGCAGAAGCTTTAATATATAAAAATAATATTAACTCACAAAGGATCTTAAACCCAGAGTGGCATACAGTAAATAATTTACACGACCAACTGGAAAAGGCATAAAAAATGTAGTGATGCTTTTATTGCAGCTAAGTGTGAAAAATATATTAAAGCCTCCCCATCGCCTTAAGGCCCTTAAACAGATAATTTCTCTTTCATTCAAATCTGAAGGTCACACTTTTCTGTGCCTCACAAAGCATTCTTGCATCAATAAATAAACATGGAAAATACAGAAACTTACGCATACTCCATCTTCGATCTAAAAAAAAAAAGAAAAGCTAGCTATTGCAATTCAAAAAGGGTATTCCCACACCCGCCCTAGACAAAATTGTTTTAGCAGAGTCAAAATCTCGTGTTAGTAAATTCTATCTTACCCCGTGAGTAGTCGTTCGTCCTTCGATTCCTCAGTTCTTGTGATTAGCCGATGCGCCGTGCCAGCGTCGCTACTGAGGAAGAAACCAGCACAACACAGCCGTCGTGTTAATAAAAAGGAAAAAGAAAAAATCCCAATCCGAGAACCCATTGAGAAGAAAAAAGATTGATCCGTACCTGATAACACCGTGAATAGGACTTTTGTCTCTAGTGCCGTTCAGTGAGCGACCAACTGTGGTTATTCCAATCTCTTTTCAGCCGATGGTGGGATGCTATGGAAATAAGAAACTTCTTCCTCTTCACAAACTCCCAGCGAGATGGAGGAAGAATATGTCTGGTAACCCTGTGCGAGAATGAAAGAGAATTGTAAGAGGAGGAGACTTCCGTGCTTTCAACGGGTGATTTTGATTGCCGAAACGAAGAAGACGAGAGAATGGAACGGACAAAAAAAAGAATGAAACTGAAACAATGACCTAGGGTTTTCTTTCTTGTTCGTCTCAATAGCTAATGGCCGTAATCAGGGAGGATTCAGATCGGGTCAATCTATATTCGGGTATGATTTATTAGTAATATTGGTTTGAATCCGATTGGATCTAGAGCTATGGTTCGGGCCCTAGCAGATTTTCAAAATTTCATGTCCGATCCGAATAAAATTTATATATATAAATATATAAATTGTATAGTCCATGTCAGCAAGAGGTGTAAAACGGGCCGTGCTGGGCCGGCATGGTCTGCACAAAGTGCGTGCCGCCCCATGGGTCGTCCCGAGCCTGCCTCCCTCCCTACGATATTTTGGGGGTTGACCCAGCACGGTCCATGGTCCAAGCCCGTGCAAATCCAAGCCAACCCAGGTCGTGGATCAAGCTAAAGTTATTTATTTAAAAAAATTGAAAAAAAAAACTTAAAATTTTAATTTTATATGAATTTTGATGTATACAATTGCTTATATATACAATAATTAAATAAAATTGAAAAAAATTGTTTATTTTATTAATATATTATATACTATACATTATTATATAATTATAATTTATACAATATATTATATATTATATATAAAATATATTTTATATAAATTATATATATATATATATATATATTTGTATATAATATATGGGCCATGGCATCCCATAGGCCACGAGTAGCACGGCACAATAGTGTGGGCCGTGACAGCCTAGTCCATTGACCTAAAACCCTAAGTCGAACATGGCCCATCAGCCCATACAATCGTGACGAGTCGTGGCACGACCCACGGACCATCGAATCAGCTCAAAATCATGTCAAGCCATGGGCGGCACGACCCGATTTACACCTCTATCAGCAAATCTCTCATTTGAGATAAGCTATTTATCTCTTTTCTCAATTTTTTGCATTTCTCCTATTTTCTTTTGTTTTAAAAATATAAAAAAGTAACAATTGCTTATCTTGATTAGATTAATAAAGTTGCACAGTATTAGAGAGAGACCTTCGGATTTTCCAAATCCTCTTATTTTAATGCGTTACTATTACATTTAAAAAAACACAATAGAGAGAAAGAGAGAGAGAGGAGGGAGCGAGTACTAATAATAATTAATGTATTTTAAATTTTAAAATATTAATAATAATTACAATATTTTTAATAATTAATAGTATTTTTATTAATTAACAGTATTAATTGTATTATTAAAAATAATGTATTTATTAATTAGTAGTATTTATTCAAAACCAATATTAAGTAATGTATTTATTAATTAATATAATGTAAGTTATAATTTATTAAAAAGAATTATAGTAATTATTAATTAATAGTAGTTAAATAAATTACAATAATTTATTAATTAACAGTATTTTTAATTAATATAGTACTTTAATAACTACAACATTTTTAACAATTACTATATTAATAATTAACCATATTTTACAGTATTTTCAATAATTGTAGTATTATTAATTATAGTATTTATTAATTAACAGTGCTTATTAAAATATTGAATTTATTAAAAAAATATTAATATTTTTTATTAATTCATTAGTTAACAGATTTTTAAATTTTTAATTAAAGTAAGTTATAATTTAAATTGTATTTTAAATATTATTTAAATTATATTTGAAACTATAAGTAAAATAATTAAATTTTAAACTATTATTAAAAGTAATTATATTTAAATGAACAAAAATTAGCCAAGAAAAAAAACCAAAAATAAAGTACCAATAATTTTGTCATAATTACCAAAAAATATCCAATAAATTACCAAAAATGGATTAATATGATTTCTAATAAATATGATAAATTACCAAAAATGAATTAATATGATTTCTAATAAATATGATAAATTACCAAAAATCTATTTATATCTATATATACTAAAGTAGAGCTTGTCATGTCACTAGCCCTCCCCAGGATGCAAGATTCCCTTTAAAAGCACTAGGAATTGCCAACTCAACAACTATCTCACCCTTTCCTTTCACCCTTTTAATAGGATAATCACATTCGTGAGAAGTTAAAGTTTTATTGGGAAACCACATAATTGGGCATTAAATAGGAAACTTCGATACTTGGATTTTGTTTAACTTGATTGCCTCTCACACACCTCTCTTCTAACTATTTATTCGCTGGCTTCTAATTACCTTTTTCTAAAAGACTAGGTGGTCTATGTTTATATCCTGGAAATCTTACTATGAAAGAGGATATATTACTATAGTTCTGAATGTCTTATTTTCTCCCAACTAGACTCTTTGAAGAAAGTATGAGCCGTGCAACTATTGTTGTATTTGAACAGCAGCAACCTTGTTCAAATGTTGCTCTGTGTTTGAACAATGGTAGCCTTATTTAATGTAACAAAGTGATTTTTTTAGTAAAAATATATTGATTCAATTGGTACAAAGTTTGTATTGGCACCACTAATTCTCTTTTTTTCTTCTAATTTTAGGATTTAATAGAACTCGGAAGAATTGCATATTGAAATGGTTGAATTATATGTAACAAAAGTCAAACAAGGATGCCCATTTTCAATCTCACACTGCCTAGGTATGTGTTTGGTTTCGTTTACGTTTTTTCATTCAGTGTTTATACTTTATTTATTTGCAAAACCGAGAAAGGTAATAATTATAATCGTTTATGACAACTAGGCACCACATCAAAGTAACAATGAAAAAGCACTAACCATTTGTGGAAGCTTTAAAAAATAACTTCCCAAAATGGTAGGCATGCACAAAAACTAAAGTCCACTTTTGCCATTCTTCATGTGTACGAAAGAGCAAGAGAGGGGAACTGCTGAAGTGGCGCCTATGTAGCAACGTTTATTGAATAAATGCCCATGAAACCAAACGCCCACAAAAGAGCAAGAGAGGGGAACTCCTCATTCCATCCTCCTCATGAGTGAATACCATCCTCCTGTGAGTGAATACCACCCTTCTTGTGAGTGAATACCATCCCCATGATCACAAAAGTTTCATAGAGTTTTGATCGTGAAATTTTAACCTAATTACCATTCCCACCAACAAATCACTTCCTTTACACCACCTACCTACCTTCATTTACTGTTGAAGGTGTTGCTGTAAATAACCAATAGTCCCACCGTATATCCAAATCTCCTCTGCCCTCCACTCTCAATCACCCTTGCTCCTCCCCTTTCCCTTTACAAAAACCTAACTTTTTCACCGTTACTCGCATTTCCTTTTACAGAAACCCAACTTCCATTGCTATCCCTCTCACCTGAATCGACAGCATGTCGGAGCCGTACAAGGAACACACCCTGCAACTAACTGAGCAACTTTCTCATTGCATGTCCTTCTTTGGAGGTTTTTGGGAAGTATAAGTCCCACCATGTTGGGAAGCCTTACGTGTCTCTCAGCACTTGGCACAAGCTAGGATTTTTCCACATACCCAGGCTTCCATATCACAGATTGAGGCCTGTGTAAAGGCAACTTGGAATTAAAGAGTTCGCTGAAAGTTAACTCAGCTGAAGGAGGCGGGTGGGGAACTCCAATTTGGAGATTTAAACGAGCAAGAGCGTATTATCCAGGGTGGCTCATGGTTCTTCTACGCAAGCTGGTTCATGGTTGAACCTTGAGAAGACAACTGTAGTGGAAAAATCCAGTAGGTATGGCATCAAAATGTCTAGCTTCAGATCCACCACATCCCAAGGGCTTATGTAGAACACTCTCCCTGCAAAATATTTGCGACTGTAGCCGGCGAAGTGCTACCACAAAAAGAAAAAATCCCAACCAAAAACCCATCTGAGGTCAGTTTGTTTGCCTTCGCGTGAAACTTTATATCAGGAAATCTCTTTTTACTGGAATGTTCTTAAAAGATAATGGCAAACGAGTGTGGCTACATATCTATTATGAAAATCTCACCAAGATGTGTACATAAGTACATTATGTGGTCTCATGGGGCATGTCTAGAAGAAATACCAACGTCTACCGGCGGATATGACTCTTGATCTTTGAGATCTTATGGACAATCACACCATCGCCCTCACATGAGAAAGGCTTTGAGCTAACTTCAGGCCTGATAAACAACTAAAATTTCCTATATATAGAGAGGATGCACCCCCTAATCCCTGTGTGACCATCCATTTTCGGGAGGAGGATGAAGATTCAGAAGATGAAACAAGGCCAAAAAAAAGAAGAAGGGTTGACGAAACAATACTAGAAGGCTCCTCCATGGTAAACTCAGCTCAGGGATCGAGTCAAACTCAGCAGAAACGGGATTTGAATCTAAACCCAAATCAACTACCAAAAACATTAAGTTCGGCTCTACAACCCTTTAATGCATATGTCTTGCTCGAATCTTCTTCTGAAGAACCCTCAACTCAGTAAAGACTCTCATTTACTCCTACCATAAATGATGTTGCACCCAACTCTAGTAAGAAGCGACAAGCCCAGACCATAAGTGGTGGGCCAAAGAACAAGAATAGGAAGGCAAGTAATGAAACATCCATCGAGAAGATCATGCCAAGCTCAATCAATATAGAGGATGTATATTATCCTCTCCTTCAGGAACTTATGAAAATGGGTCCATCATAGGAAACTAACCTACCATCTACCACCCTTATTTGCATTAGAGGAGATTTCGGATGGGTTGACCTTGAAGCAAATGATTGGTGGGACCGCTGGTTAGAAACAACAACGTCTCAACAATAAATGGAGCTCCTCACAAACGTACTACTTCAAGTACAATTCACAAAACCTCATTCTTGTTTCCTATCTCACAATAATATAAAGTGTGCCATTTGCATCTGCTTAATTTACTATTACCCTATTTGCTTGATTTTCCCTAGTTCCTTCATCATGAAAATCCTTGTCTGGAATATAAGAGGTTGTGGCACCAAAGACAAATTATTTGAATTAAAGCACAAATGCAATATCCACCAACCGGACCTCCTCTTCTTGATGGAAACAAAATTAAATGAAGTCAATGCCAAAAAAAACTAGTAAAAAAACTTCACTTTCCCTCTTGCAAAATAGTTCCATCGATTGGAGCAAGTGGTGGCCTTCTGGCTGCATGG